AGATAAAAAAAAAAACAAAAAAAACTTGAAAGTTAGAAGGAAACAGGTTGATCTGTGCAGTGTTGGATGAAACAGCAAATCAAAACGAAACATAACAACCCTCTAAACTAAGAATTCTATATTCAGTAAAACTGTCCTTCAAAAATGAGGGAGAAATTCAGACATTTCCAGATATAAGTAATGAGGGATTTATTTCTCTACTACTAGACCTGTTCTGCATAAAGGGGGTCCCTCAGGTTGACTTACATTTTTTTTTTTTGTCTTTTTGAGACAGGATCTTGCTATGCAGTTCAGGCTGAGCTTGAGCTCACTTTGTAGCCCAGGCTGGTCTCGAACTCACAATGATCCTCAACCTCCCGAGTGCTGGGATTACAGGTGTACACCACTATGCTCAGCTTCTTCAGGTTCAAATAAAAGGACGTTAGGCAGGAATTCAAAGGTGTCTAAAGAAATAACTCTGATAAAGGTAAATACATGAATATTTAACTGTCAGGACTTGTTTTATTTTTTACATGATACAAGAGACTCATGTATCAAAAAATAAAATCCAACATTACTGTTAAAAATAAGAACAACGAGCAGGCAGGTACAAAAGAGACAAAAGATAAGAAGTGCCCTCACCTATAAACCCTCTCTTGAGATAACTAATTAGTCCCCCTAGAGCAACACAAGAAACACAATAATTCCTCTTACTGACCTCATCACTTCTTAAATGACCATCTTTTGACATGGCCACACTGGAAATCAAATTTCAGCAGGAATTCTGTTGGAGACAAAGCACATCCAAACAACAGCAAGAGGCCTTGTCTAGCCAGTCAAGTTTAGAAATATTAGTTTACAAACTTCTTTTCCCAGATATGAATAGTAAGGAGCTTCCCCGGGTTTTGCTTATAAAACTCTAAAACAAAACAAAAGAAAACAAAAACAGAGAAAATATCCAAAAGCCTAGGTATTTCATCTTAGCTGATGGACATTCTGAGAAGAGAGACCCTCACTGGCCTACAGCTAAATCCCCTGGCAGTACATAAAATCCAAAAACAACAAATAACTGCTCAAGGGAAAAGCAAAATGTGAAGCCTGTACTCAACAGTCTTATTAAAACTGACTTATAAGGCAAATGTTTGAAACTTAGAATAGACCCAAGATTCTAAAACCTCTCAGTAACACTTAGTTTCCAGACTAGCCTTGGAAAGCCTGTTTAGTCCATTATGTACAAAAATCATGGCAGTATTCCAACTACCGTAATCTGCATTTCAGTGGGGGAAGGCCAAGTCAAAATTCCAAGCCACAACAATAAGTATTTCCCCTCTCAACTCAAGTGGTGCCTACTGGTCACAGGAAAAAAAGAAGGGACAAGGTGGGTACTACCATACTCCAGGGCTTACTAAGGCTCCCTGCCCCCTGGTTGGTACATCTTCTCTTATCATTCTGACCTGGAGAACTAGGGCATTTGCTCTCTAGGGCTGGAGAGCAGAGTGAGGCTTGTCCAGCTCTATCTCCTCTAAGCTGTGTAGGCAAGACTTGAAGAGCTCAATAATGTTCTGGTTAACATGAAAAGTTTTGACCTTGTTTTTTAAACAACTCTTGCCTAAAATCCTAAACAAAGCTGAAAGTGCTACATCAGGATGGAAAGACAGCTATAATACTGTTCCATGCTTCCCAAAAGAGGGCAGAGTTTTTCCTTCCTGAACAATGGTGAGCAACATGGGTTTTTATAGAAAACAAAAGTCAAAGCCATGCACTTGGTATACATAAATATGTATTTGTTCACATACAGAGAGTAATCCAGAATGGCACACATCAACCAGCTACCACGGTCACTTTGGGAAAAAGAATGGGATGGAAAGGAAAAGCCAAAGTTTTAAATTTCAGTGTTTGCTGAGCATGGTGGCATACACCTGTAATCCCAGCAATCAAAGAGGCTCAGACAGGAGGATCACTGTGAGTTTAAGGCCAGTGTGAGCTATACAGTAAGTTTAAGGCCAGACTAAACTGCATAGTGAGACCCTGTCTCAAACAAAACAAAACAAAAAAAACAAAGCCCCAATTGCTTGAATTTCTTTTTCAAGGCTGGGCATGGTGGAGCACACCTGTAATCCCAGCACTCAGGAGGCTGAGGCAGGTGGATTGTTGTGAGTTCGAGACCAGCCTGGGCTACAAAGTGAGCTCAAGGCCAGTCTGAACTGCATAGTGAGACCCTGTCTCAAAAAGACAAAAAAGAAAAAAAAAAGAATTTCTTTTTCAATTACAGGCATGGTTCATGTATATAATTTTAAAAATAAAACTATGATAAGCCATTTTTTTTTTCTGGTACCGAGAATCAAACTCATGACCTCGCGCTTGCCAGGCAGGCACTGTGCTGCTAAGATAAATCCCCAGCCCCATGATAAGCCATTTTTAAAAACCTTAAAATGATAATTTCTCTGGATATAAGACAGGACAGAGAAATAATCAGAATTTGGCCTGGAAACGTAGCTCAGTGGTAGAAACTACAAATACACTTCATTAGAGAGATCCAAAGTAGAATGACCCAAGCAGGTTTTTATACATTTAAATTAGCAGATGCAGAAAGCTACAGCCACTGACCAAATTCATTCTATGAAACAGACCAGTCCATGAGGGACAACTGGGTTTTACATTTTTAAAGAATTGGAAAAACAAGAAAGAATATATGTTCAGACCACAATGTGGCCCATAAAGTCTGAAATTTCCTGTCTGACTTTTATAGAAAAAAAATGTTATGACCCCTGATTATACCAATGACCTTGTAGCTTTTTAAAAATTTCTCTAGCCAGATGTGGTAGTGCACCCCTGCAATCCCAGCACTTGGGAGGCTGAGGCAGGAGGACTGCCATGAGTTTGAGGCAAATTTGCATAGGGTTATTTAGTGAGACTCTGTCTCAAAAACAAAACAAAACAAAAAAACACAACAGAAAAAAAAAAAAAAAAACCTACTCTAAACTGGGCATGGTGTGCTTGCTTGTAATCCCAGGGTTCTGGGAAGCTGAGGCAGGAAGATGACAAGTTTAAATCCTATCTAGGCAACTTAGTGACTCAGTGAGATCTTGAATTAAAACAAACAAAAAAAGAAAGGGCTGGGGATATAGTTCAATGTGAAGATTCTGTGTTTCCCTGATACGGCAAAAACAAGCAAACAAAAAACTAAGTTCCCCTTGGAAATGTCCTCAAAATTACTTTTAAACACAATAAAAATTAGTCACACTATTTAATACGCTAGTGCTTTTTTTAAAAACTTAGACCAAGGCTGGGGGTATAGCTCAACAGCATAGCATTTGGCTCTAGGCCCTGGATTCAATTGTAGCACCACAAGAACAGTATGACAACAGCAAAACAAAAACAGTAAGACCCTCAGAGCAGTATTAGCTTATTCAGCTACCTCTGTTATCAGATTTGCCTCAAAAGTCTGTGACTTCAGCCTCAGAATGGGGAAAAGGACATTTTCCTTTCTAGCACCTCACATCGAGGAGCTTAAGACAGATGTACAAGCACATGTGGAAAAGCCAACCTCAGGTTAACCCCTGGAGCTGGTAAAAATAATTTTTAAAATATATCAGTTAAGCCAATATAACAGATCAAAATTTAGTAAGTCATTTCATAAATGAAGTTAAAAAAAGGTCGTATTTTGAATGAAACTTATATTCTAATCTACAGGCCTGAAAGAGGGAGAGCTTTTCATTTTAACTATCAAAGATTACTAAGAAATGTAGTACTGGATAAGACTCAAATTCATCAAATAGGAATAGCTGTGAATTTAGACTAGAGAACTAATTTATCTTATAAGCACGTGTGGAACTTGATTTTTTGTTTTTGTTTTTATTTTATTATTTTAAAAAATAAAAGAAGGATAACATAGTAATAGGGGGGCTTACTGAATTACAGACAAAGTGGTAGGAAATTATAAATGGTTGTTGTTTTACATATTGTTATCTACAAGATAGTTTCTCAGGAAAATAAATAGACAAATAATAGTGAGTTACAAACAAAAGTGGTAAGTTATTATCAATGGTTGTTGTACTATACTTTGGTATCTTCAAAGTGGTTTCTAAAGAAAATAAACAGAGGTATACACGAGTGACCAACTGAATATTCACTGACTATTCTCCATGGTTGTTGTAGGAAACACAGTAATAAACATACATCCATTTATGAAATAGCATAGGAACAACACAAACATTACAGAGTTATGGACAGATTAGCAGGAAAATATCAATGGCTGTTGTAATACATGGTGGTATCTTCAAAGTGGTTTGGAACTTGTTTTTTGAGACAAGGTCTCATTGTAGTTCACTATGAACTCACTATGCAGTTCAGGCTGGCCTCAAACTCACAGGGATCCACCTGCCTCAAACTCCTGAGTGCTGGGATTACAGGCCTGCACCATCACACTTAGTGTGTAGAACTTTTTACCAACCAATTTTCTATAGAGTATAATGAAAATTCACAAAACTCATCACCACATTTAAAACGCTAAGTACTTTTTTTTAACAGTATGTTACTTGGAAATTAGTTTCCAAGTTGAAGATTTTATGGAAAAATACATAAATTGATTGTTTAATATTTCTTTTTCTTTCTTTTTTTTTGGTGTTGGGGATTGAACCCAAGGCCTTGTGCATCCTAAACGCATAGTTCACCACTGAACTATAACACCATTCCAGTTTAATAATATTTTCACTTCCGTAAAAATGAAAGCAATTCAGTACTTGGCAAGCACAAATTTCTTTCCTTTGAGACTGGGCCTCGCTATGTAGTTCAGGCAGGCCTTGATCTTACAGTGATCCTTCTACCTGAGCCTCCCACGTGCTGGGATTACGTGCACACCACTATACCCACCTTAAGCATAAATTTCTTAGAAGGAAAGAATATTAATGTAAAGAGGACAAAGGTTATCATTACAGTGATCTGAGAAAAACTACAGCAGTATCTTAATCAACCTCCGGAATACATTTTCCTACCTAAGTATGACACAGAAAGTACTCTACCTCAATGTCCTGGAGACTGAATTCCTTCTGATCTGTAAAGTTTGCCGCCCCAGCACTAAGTTCCATCAGCATCTTGGCAATCTCAGGCTTTATGGCTGAAGTCAGCCGGCTGGCTGCTTCCATGACATGCTCCTGCACATCTTTGAGCTGCATGGCCGCCTTCGAATAGTGAGAGTTCCTGAATACAGTGCTGAACAGATCTGTGAGGAAAGTACTGGCACGGCAGAAGACGTTGAGGGCATCCAGGTACTTAGAGATGCCCTGCTGGATGTCGGCGATGGGAGTGGAGTGGGGCATGGCATGGTGGCAGCTGCCTGCAGCAGTCAGACTGCCCAGTGGGGCAGAGGTGGCCGTTGATGCCAGGGGGGCACTCAGTGCTCGGCCCAGCTCCGGCATCGGGTACTGCTGGTGCTGCTGCACTTTCTGCTTGGACCCGCCAAGCAGGAAGCGCCGCTTGTAGTCCATTTTACTGTCCTGGGCACTACAGCAATACATGCGGGGGTTCTGTCCCAGGGACTGTGCGCAGGTCAGAGCTCTGATTCGTTTCTTCCAAAACTGTACTAGGTATAAAAATAGTGGAGTTCTGCAAATTGAAGTTTTAAAAAAGGCATTTCCATGAGGCAGGTGACCATGTGATCAAACATAGAGGTGAAAAGAACAATAGGTTTATATAATTACTATTTTCAGTGTAGACAGGATCTCTGACCAAAAAATGAAAGTGTGCCCAAAATGCTGTATAAGAATTGTTTAGCATTCCACTCTCTTGTTGAGAAAAATGTTTACTTTAGTTGCTCTGCAAGAATATTTTGATACTTGTATTTACAACGGCAGAAAAATAACTTTTAAAAATGTAATATAATGTATCTTTAATACACCAAAAGTTAGAACCCAAAAACCAACAAGCTGTTCAACAGCAATTTAAAAAGCAATACAGGGTTATTCCACACGAAGTCCTTAAGAAGGGAGATCAAATCTCTGCAGAATTTTGACAGAGCCTGCCTGTCAAATCATTTACCTGTAAAGCTTCTCCTCAAGGCTAAAAATTTCCAAATTTCCTGTAATGTTTTCTGAAGATAAGTTTTCTTTAAAAATGGCATTCGTTATTATAAGTCTTTCTTTCTTTTTGTTTGCTGAGGTAGCGGTTTCCTTGTAATATTAATAAGAGATGCTTCCAGACTGGGTTGGCCTTCAATTGTAAAATCTGAAGCATAATGCACGGATGTATTTATAAGGCCTCTAAGTCATTTCCTGTAAAGGGGAGAAAAAAAGGAAAAAGTCAACAAGGCTATAGGACAATAAATAATTCTGGAATATTAACTTCTGCAGTGCTGTCATACACATAGGTGGGCTACAAATGAATAAAATAAATCGTATTATAACTTTACAGAAGTAGGACAATAGAGCTGAACTATGAAATGACTTAGAAAGTTCTTCAAATTGTAGCACAAAACAATGACAAAAGTCTGATTCCACACTAATCACTCCAAAGCTGAGGTTAACCAGTGAAAACTGGATAGGGCCTGGTAGTGTTTGGCATTCCTTTGTTTCCTTCTCATTCCGTTATCTTTGTTTTTTGGTACTGGGAATCAAATTTGGGACCTTGCACTTGCCAGGCAGGCACTTGTGCCGCTGAGCTATATTCCCGGTCCTGTTTCCCTCTCAAAAAGCTCGAAAATCTGCAAGAGGATCAGATGAGTTCAGATGTTCTTTGGTATGCATGTGGACTGGTTCCATGACCATACTAGACATGAAATTCTGAGCAAGCTCAAGTCCCTTATATAAAATGGCACAATATTTGCATATACTTACATACATTCTCCAATATACTTTAAATCATCTCTAGATTACTTATAATACAATGTAAATGCTATGTAAGTAGTTACACTCTCTTACGTAAAAATGACAAGAAAAATGTCTGTATATATTTAGTACACATGCAATATTTAAAAGAAATATTTCTGCCAGGTGTGGTGGTGCATGCCTATAATCTCAGCACTGTGGTAGACTGAGGCAGGAGGATTACAAGTTTGAGCCCTGCCTAGGCAATTTAGAAAGACTCGGTCTCAAAATAAAAAAGAAGGGGATAGGGATGTAGCTTAGTGCAAAAGCCGTAGGTTTAATCCCCAGTACCACAAAAATAGAAGTAAAGCTAAACATTTTTGATCTGCAGTTGGTTGAAACTATAGATGTGGAATCTGGACATACAAAGGTCTGAGTGTACTAACATTATGGTGAGGGTTATTGATGATTAACATAAGTCTCACAAAACTTTAAGGGAACTGCGAAAGGGAGAGATGAGCACAAAGTGAGAGTCATGAGGAAAGCCGTTACAAAAATATTATTCTGAGGTAGGCCTTTGTAACAAGGGCAGATTTTGACATGCCCAAAAAGTATGGCTCACCAAGTGGAAGGACAACCCCAGCATAGGCCCAGAACCAGGAGACCCCTTGGTCTCTTCAGGATACCCAGCCAGACTAAAGTATAGGTGCAGAAAGACGAAGCCTGCAAAGGTTAGTGGCTGGCAGGTGGCAGTCAGGAGACGGGATTCTTTCAACTCTTCCACACAGTTACCAGTTTCCTGTCTGGATGTTCAGAGTAGAAGTCTGGCAGAGCATACCCTGGGTTAGCATCTGGGGAAACCCTGTTGTGGGTGGTTCAAATAGCAATACTTGGACATTGCTGGCTACAGTTTTCAATACCTACAAGAGGGGAATAGTACAAGTCTTCTCACAGGGCTAAAACTGAAACATTTCCTTGACTTGTTTTCCCAAATATAGCATCTTTTTTTCTGGGGGAATGGGGCATTACTGAAAACTGAACCCAGGGACTTCCTACTGAGCTATATCCCCAAGGATATTTTGTTTTCTGAATCAAGGTCTCATTAACCTGCTAAATTGTCAAGGCTGGTCTCAAACTTGGAATCCTCCTGCCTTAGTCTCCTGAAGTGCTGGAATCCCAAGTGTGAGCCACCACACCTGGTGTCAAGCATATTTTACTGAAAGTTATATTTAATACATGGCAAACTTCAACCTATAGGCAGGCACGGTGGTGCATGCCTACATAAATTACTTTATTTACTTTTGTTTTGTTTTGTTTTTTTCCGGTACTGGGAATTGAACTCATGACATCACGCTTGCCAGGCAGGCACTGTGCCACTGAGCTAAATCTCCAGCCCCTACATAAATTACTTTAAACAGTAAATTTTATGGTATCTGGCCTCAAAAAATGTCTGTTTAGAACAGTCTGATACGCTACATCTGTAAAATGATCCATGGGTTACTGGGTGGATCTTCAGATCTTTAGTAATCACTGATTAATCAGGGTAATGATTATTTGGGTTTATTTATATGGAGATAATTCATCATGTTGGTATTATAACCTGTGCACTTTTCCTATGTATTATTCTTCAGAAAAAAATTAAAGGAACAAAGAGTGAACTAGCATACAAAGGAGAAAGGCTTGGGTAAGGAAACTTTCATTCCAAGAAAGAACCGTACTACTCTGTATTCCTACATTACCAATCAAGACAAACTGTAGATGGAAGGCTTTGGCAAGCTTTAAAACCTAATCCAAACTACAATCTCACTTGGAAAGAGAACAATCAGCTCATTAAAACAAAATTAAAAAAATAGTAAAAATAAAAAATAAAGGGGAGAGATGTGAAGAGTAAGACCCCCTCCTCCTACTTCTCCCCTCCATAAAAATGAGAAAACTGGGGGCTGGGGATTTAGCTCAGCGGCAAAAGCGCCTGCCTGGCAAGCGCAAGGTTGTGAGTTCGGTTCCCGGTACCGGAGAAAAACCAAAAAAAAAGAGAAAACTGGTAAACAGAGCCAAGTTTTTTAGTACTCTGGAAGTGAACAGGCTTGCAACAAACAAGGGAGCACTTCTGCAAGAAAAACAGTTAAATCTTCCTAAGAACAATCAGTTCTGTAACATTTTAATTTGACCTACTAGTTCTCTAATTCCACTGCAGTGTTAAAAACAAACACCTGCACTCTCAGTGAAAACCAGGAGGCGGGCAGCTGCTAAAGGAAGCAGCACAGTTCCTTCAGCTTCACTCCCAGGATATTAATTACTATTTGGCCTATCTGATTGTTCCTTGGAAGACCCCAATTACGTAAGTCTCTGTATCTGACCTCACTTGGAGCTCACCGGACGAAGGAGGAGAATCAGATTTCCAGAGTTCCCATACTGTATCATTTAAAATTTCCAATTTTTAACAAAACTTACAAGATATACAGTGAAATAAGGGAATACGAGCTCATATACAGAGGAAAAAACCAGACAGTAGAAGTTGCTCCTGAGGAAGCCTAGGTATCAGAGTCGCTAGAAAAAAGCCTTTGTATCAGTCATTTTAAATATGCTCAAAAACTAAAAGAAACTAAAGAATCAAATGGGAGCCAGCCATGGAGAATCACATGCCCAGCCCTTTAGGAGGCTGAGGCAGGAGGATTACAAATTCCAGCCCACCCTGCCCTGCTAAAAAACCAGCTGAAGACAAAGGCTCTGGGTTCAGTCCTCAGCTACCCATGCCCACTCCTCCACAAAAAGAAAAAAAAAAAAAAATGCTCTGAGAATGTTTCTTAGTGATACAGTGCTTGTTTAATGTGCGATGCCCTGGGGAAGATGGCTGTGAGTTCAAGACCACCCCAGATTTCACAATAAGTTCAAGGTCAGCCTGAACTAGAGTGAGATGCTGTCTCAAAAAACAACAACAAAAAACTCAAACAAGCAAACAAAAATAAAAGACCTGTAGGACATCATCCAAAAAAAAAAAGGACCTGTGGGATACTATCAAGCATACCAGCATGTATAAACTGTACTAGGATCCCAGAAGGAGAGATACATGAAAAAAATATTTGAAACCCCAACTCTGATGAAAAACTATATCCAAGAAGCTAAACAAATTCCAAAAGGCTAAACTCTAAAGAGATACACATTTAGAACACACTATTATCAAAATGTCTAAAAGCAAAGACAAAGAATATTGAAAGCAGTGAAACACTTTATATCATACAGTTGATTTTCATTATTTACAGCAGTTACACAATGTCATCACAAACACTGAATTAAGAAAATACCAAGTCACCACACCTAGAAGACACTTAGGTTCCTCTGAGTCATACCATTTCCACCAAGCAGTCAATACGTAATTCTGTTTTATGTATGTTTCTATTCACAGATACATGGGCTGAGCTTTAGCTCCATGGTAGAACGTGTGCTTAGTCTGCCCAAGGTCCTGGAGTCAACCTCCAGTGCCCAACAACAAACTTTAATTAACACTGTACATGGCTGATTGACATGGAACTTACAGTAAACAGCACATAACCCACGCTTGAATGAAGTTTATCTAACACACATTTTCTCTATAAGGTAAACGACAGCATCCTGTGCTTAGGAACATTAAATGCTACTTTACTACTATGTGAGGAGGCCATTTTAAAATATTTTATTTTATTTGAAGGGGTCATTTTAAACAGTGGAATTTCCACTAAAAAGCACACAAATGCAAAAATGTGGCATTAAATAGACCACTAAAAAGGGCTGTTTTTTTTTTTTTTTTTTGGTACTGGGAATTGAACTCAGGACCTTGTGCTTGCCAGGCAGGCACTTGTGCCACTGAACTATATCCCCAGCCCAGGGTATTTTTTTTAATAGTCTGAGAGGTTTCTTTTCTTTTCCTTTTTCTTTTTTCTTTTTTTTTTTTTTTTTTTTTTTTTTTTTTTTTTTTTTGAGACAGGGTCTCACTATGTAGTGCAGGTTGGTCTTCAACTCGCTTATGCAGCCCAGGCTGCCCTCAAACTCACAGCAATCCTTCTGCCTCAGCCTCTTGAGTACTGTGGAGTTACAGGCATGACCCACCATGCCTGGCAATACTCTGAGAGTTGAAGTAACAAGGCAGTGTATTTCTTTACCTCAGCCTGAGACATGTATACTGGATGGCTCAAACGTCTCACTCTGTGCATGACTGCAAATGACCACAAATGCCCCCAAGCATTAATTTGGGTTACAAGTAAACTTTAACAAGTAGACAAATTCACAAATACAGAATCTGCAAATAATGAAAATCGACTATCTGGTGCCACTTGCAATACTTGTATTCCTGCAGCCGGGTGTGGTAGAGCACATCTGTAATTGTAGCACTCAGGAGACTGAAGCAGGAAGATCACCCCAAGTTCTAGACTTTGTTATACCCTTTGTTACACAGATTCAAAGGTTGAATTTGGGGTTGGGAATATAGCCCAGCA